TAGCCAGTTGTTACAATAGATACGTTTTGCTAGTGGTCAGAACAAAGCTCGTCAAAAAGCCTGCATCCTATCCTAACTGAAATGACTTCAGAATAGACTGCACGATAATCAATATCACAACTTGAGTCAATACCGATTAGCGAAAGAGTATCAGTCTTTCGCATATGTCGAAATGTTGCATGATCTTTAGCGTCTACTGTACATTCATTGAGAAGACTACCACATTCGGTCATGGACATCGGAAACGAAACTTGGTAATGCGTAATCAGCATTCCCAGTCCTTGGCATGTAGAAGTTTGATCGAGGTTTAGCCATTTTCCCGGGAAACGCTACCCCTGAAAGTGTCATCGTCCTGCTTATTCTTTTTGGTGGCAGTATTCATTACAAATGTTTGGACCGTCATGTGACATGATGCTGGTTCAAAATGTAATCCAACTTCGAAGCTTTTGTGCAGAAAGGATTCAAAGTTTAACAGAAAATGCACAGTTTAAAAATATGAAAGTAAAGGGTTTTGGGATTGGTTCTGATAGGACTGTTATTTAGGCCATTGTGGAAGGCATCAAACAATGAGGATGAACAGCTCTGGGATACGGGATGTAGTGCAGTCTGACGGCGATTTGAGGGAAAGGAGTGCTTATACTTCAATCTGATCCATCTCTCTCCTTGATTGCTATTATATGTCTGCGGGGCTGAATACTGCTAAAGTGAACGAAATCGACAGGAGGTGTCCCCCATTTCTACCTTTTCCTTGCAAGGGCATAAATACATTTTCAAATAGCTATACCGAGCGAAAATGGTTGCAAGATAGAGTTGGGAAGATAACACCCATTTTTGACTTGCTAAATGGATTTATCATTAAGCCAAATAATTTAGAAATTATCAAAGAAGCAAGGGATATTAAGTCAGCAGCATGGATTCCCTCCAAATTCCCTCCAAAAACATCCCGGAAATATTAAGCCAGAATCACTTCTTTGATCATTTCGAAATGGTGAAGACACGTAAGAACGCCTGAATAGAGGGCTTCCTGGAGGCTCAGAAACCCGCCCACAGGAGAAGGAGGAGGCAGTTTGTGAACGTACCTGTGTGTGGAACGGGAGAAGATATCCATCATGAACCAAGATTGGGCCTATCTAGTGGTGTGTTATAATTGCAAGTACCGTGATTGAAGCAGATCGAATATTGCAGAGTAGTAGATGCTGCGAAACCTCATTCTTTTAAAAGGATAAAAAGCAATACTCTATGCACGTTTCCAGGCATTTATATGTTTCAGTTATCTTAGGAAACACCTAAAAGTTGTTTTTCCCCCAATATACGCATGCAGTTTCATATCCTTTGTTGTAGCACTTAAAAGTAGACGAATATAAAGTGAAAGCTTTAATTATCATAAACATATAGTACTGTTGAAGTCTAATGGATCCACGAAGAAAACCGTCTCATTAGATTAGAGTAAAGTGCTCGAGTGCGTCGAAGAAGCTGATCGATAAACGTGAGCCGAGAACCAGTCGGACGCGTATTTTGATCCAGTGTGTCTGCATCTGATCCCTTTATATGATATCACCCCGCTTTTAAGAACGGACGAAATCCCATTCAACATTACATTCGACATTTCAAAGTAAATAGAACCTGCTTGAAAGTTTTAGCTAGGTATACTGAAGGCGATTGTCTTTCGCAATAATAAGTAGAAGACTTCCATAAATGGTATACAAGGCGGACAAATGTAACTAATGCAGGTTCGCTGTGCTAATGCAATAATTATTCCCTATGTGGGCCGAATTTCCTCAGTTCGAGCTTCCCGGCTCTTTGACTATACCAGTGCAAATGTGTGCAACTGTATATCTGGCCAAGATTTCAATGAATAAATGTGCACCAAACTCGGAGAATAGACCCTCTCTACAAAAAGGGTTATTTCACGGTTTGGAACCAGCTCAAAACCTGTCAGCTGGTCTCCAATAGCTTGCCTATCATATTTATGGATACTTATGGTACCTCTCAAAAGGCTATAGAGAATGAACTTTGGTCCTAGGCCCTAGCAATTGGGCTTCGAGCGAAATAGAATTATCTTAACTGGTAAACAAGTGATCTTATTTTCTCCATCAGGTAGCATTGTCTTTGGGTGATATAAGTGTTGTATATGAAATTACTAGTTTCCAGAAGTATGGAAAAATGCTCAAAGTCATCATTAAAATTTTGCAAACAGCTTAGCTTCTTTGTAATAAGCGGCATGTCCATACCTTCTTCGAAATACCGCCATTTTTTTCCTGTCAGCAAATCAGCATGCCTGCAAAGCGCATGTGCTCACTCTAGAGGTTACAAGTAGCCCACCGCTACAATACGTTTTTCGGTTGGTAATTATTTACGCATCACCAAAAAAAACAAAACTTTTAGTTAAAAAATTCCGTGATTAAGTACTGCACGTTAAAACTGCAAAACCTTTTATTGCCAGTTGCCTTAACTACCTCGATGGCCTACAATATATATATATATATATATATATAAACCTGTTATGATTATATGTTTTAGCCTTGGAACATGCTAAACTGTTTTATGAATTACCTTTCTATTTCAAAGAACAAATTTAAGAAGACCTTCCACATTTCGTCCAATCACAAAAAGCAAATTTCCAGCCAAGAGCCTGCTTCCGATCCATGCACGCCGTCAGTGACCGACGACTCCGAGGGTTGGGTTTTTACTGTGACTGACAGCTGCTCAGTTTACGGCAACAATGATTTCAAGAAGGGTGACATCCTTCATCTAGAGAACACATACTACGAGCGTTGGTGGATAGCCAAAAATTCAAGAACCGGCCAAACCTTTCAAGTCTTTGACGACTGGATCACTGATAGGCCGGGCGAGTCCGTGGCATTTGATGCATGGCAGAATATTGGTCGGGAAGAGGCATTGAAGCAGCTTCTCGTACCAAATCTCAACCTTGGAACCTATATCCTGCGACCCGGCAGCGGTAAGTTTGACACACTTTATCTCAGAAGTCCTTTATTTTTAATGAGGACAGCGGGAAGTTCAAATGACAGCGGACCAGCAGGAATGTATCATTTCGGCTAACCTATCTTGTTCGCTCACGCACGCCCTATCTCATATTGACGAATCGGAGGTTTAAATGATGGCTATAGTACGCTAAGTGGAAAGTGCGTTAATCTAAATACAGCACAACACAACATGGTCTACACGTAAACATTCACCTCTAAAATAAATGCTCCGCCTCGACCCAATTACAGGACACAGTAGACTGTACCAAATGGTGTCTTTTAGCCTAGGTGTTGATCTTCCAGATATTGAAATTAATGTATTGTATTTACGGACCTAAGCAAAACTGTAATACAAAATGGTCATATAAAATGTGCTAACAGAAATGCTAATGAGAAAGGTCTCCTTAAAAGCATCGACGCTTAACACCAACTTACTCGTTAAAATACTGGGAATACTTTTTATTTGCAGCATCTTATACTACGTTAGAATGGGCGCTTAAATCATAAGCACGCATGTCAAATGCACAAACCTTGATGGGATTGAATGAGCGAGAACGTCGCCCAGGTTCAATCAGCGTGGGTTTACGTCCAACCATTTAAACACGTGTCTGGGCTTTTAATACTACTTGTACTGCCTAGCATGATAACTTACAACTTTGCCCGTTGGCAGCATGTGTACAATACGCAGTTATCGCACAGTGGCTGATAGCGTTCGGCCCAAATATATCCACCAGATTTCGATCTCTGCCTACAGACCTTGAATAAACTTACCTATACGGAACACAGAAATTAATTCCTAGGGAAATTAAAGAGGATGCAAATTGTGTTTAGGTTCTCAGTGAAGATATCCTTGGAGTCTGACAGTTATTTTCTGCAGAAATTCATCTCACATACATAATTTATACATTGTCTTGTAAGCATAGTGGAAGGTTAGCATTTCTAATACTGCATACTATACTTGACTTCTAATTTACTACGGATAAAACCGCATAAGCATTACACAGGTTATTAATGAACTATGAGCCTAAGATTGACCGTTGTCGCTGGACTATATCGGGTTGTCGACTTTCTCGAATAAGACAATCCCAGATGTAACGTTTACTACGCAGACAGGCGGTTGACGATAGCTGCCGATGGCACTTCATCTTAACCCCACCAGGGTGCTTTTGTGGCATGGATAATCACAAGTCTGCTTGAAAAGTGCCCTTTTGAAGAAGAGGATGCGATTACTGCTCCAGTTATCGCATCCTCTTCTTCTGAACTGCTTCCTGGAACTCGCACATTCTCCACTATTGGCAAATTCCCTTTGCTTTATTATGATCAGTGTGACTCTTACGACGACTTGAGCCAGATCTGGTAAGAGAATATATGTTGACAAGGTGGACCCATTGTAGCGGAAAAGACAAGTACGCCTGTATTGGTCCTTTATGACATATTAGTTCCTTCAGGACTGGCGTTCACAGCTACCGGTTCACACAACTTAAGATTCTAACTCATATTGTTTGTTCGTTGAGTGACGTCAGGTTCAGATGTATGCTATTGAGATACATTCTCGATGTGCTGTTGACTTCTGACTTTTCACCAATCAGGTAACGGTAAGTGTTTCAATCGTTACGCCCTTCCATCGTTATTATTTT